GGAAAGAAATGTGAAAAAGAGGTTAGATAAAACATTTGCATCGACTGAGGCAAGCTCAGGCACAGCACAAAGGCACAAGCAGACACAGCGAGCAGAGAAACCTTCAGGTACTGAGATCAGTGCTGAAAGGGAGAAGTATATTGGGGTGGAAACTATTTTGTGCCTCAGCGATTTAGGACCTCACAGCCCATGAGCTCCTGATGAGGTGCAGCACTGAAGTCACTTAATCACTGGTCCCAAACACCCCTCTGATGCAGGACCAGAACGCACACAGCACGGCTCAGCTTTAATGTAACAAAGATCAAGCCCGGTGCTTGGGAAAACCAGGGATAGCTACACTGTGTTTTCACTTACAGATACCATGCTGAAAATCACTGGTTTTGACCATGCTTGGTTTGGCGGTCTTGCATCAGTGGCTTCTCATTTATACCCCATGCCAGGGCATTTGGAGAAGCAGACTCCCTCCACGCTCTGCAAATGCCTTACCTTGAGACAGTACTGTAAGGGTTCAGACACCTACAGTTTAACCTACTTTAGGAATAACAGTTTAAAAAACACTTAAGAGCCTCTCTGGAGTAGGGGTAGGGACCTTACCTATTCCTCAAAACTGAGAGCTGCAAAATTAATAAAGTTCCTGGGAAAACAGCCAGGGATTTCCTTTGGGTTTTCTCATTCTGGCACATTCATTAACCAAATACCACATTACAGGGAAGATGAAAAGTATTGAGATATGCAAAAAAACCACTACTTCCCGGAGCACCGAGTGCCTGACATTTTATATAAATACTTCTACATACAGAAAATGCTCTGCTCGTGGGCCATGCAGACACGCAGTGGAAGGTGAGCCTGCACACACTCACAAATTCATCTACTCACAGCACATGTAAACACCTGTCACTGCTCAGGTCTAATTTTTATTTCCTCCTGCAATCAAACATTCAGCTTGCAGGGGAGCCTGAGCCAAAGAAAGAAGCTGCCAAAAGCAACTCAGCCATCTTTAATATCAGGGAGAAAAGGTTGCAAGCTGAATAGACTCAAGGCTAGTAAAGTCAATTATTTATCTGCTTTTGAATCTTCATCTTCCCTCTCAGGTCAGCCAATGACAAATTGATCGGTTAGACCACGCTATCCTGCTTTCAAGCTATTATTCAGTTAGGACCGAGGACAGGATGTCTTCCCGTGTGTTAGCTATCAAAGGAAGAAAACGCCCACCCTGACCCTCCACCAGACCAGAAGCTCCTTGTGCTGTAGAAGTTAAAATGGGAGCCAAAACCAGCTCCCACTTTATCACTGAAAACTGCGAAGCACTGGGTGGGGATGCTGCATTAATTCTTTACATTCACACTTAAGAATGATGATTTTGCTCATGGCAGTGTTAGCACCCTATAGTGAAATAGTGTTTTGAAAAAGAATATGGAAATCCTAGCCACTGCAAGAAATTCAAATAAATAGAGTATGCCAAGCTATGTTTGACCCAGGCATTTCTCAGCATTAAATTGTTTGTCCATTTGTATGACAGCTGGAGGTTGAACGATGATGTTATATTTCGCTGCATAAGATCATTTAGGAGTTCTGTGGTCAAATTTGCAAGGAAGACAAAATATCATACAATTCACTTTATGGCTTGCTGGCCTCCCATGTTAGTTTCTATAAATATATAGACACTAACTACGAAAAACATTTTCTAGGATATTTCTCATCTGACACTGAACATTAGCCAGTGTAAGGGCTTCTCTTTAGTATAAAGAGCCATCTCTTAAATCTGCACCACTGTCTCCAAACACTACTGCAGAGTCATAACGTCCAGTACTTTCGTATCTGCCACAGTAATGCACATTTTTGTTCAGGAGCACAAAAAAATATCTCCAAGTTAAAGTAATTATCTTCCCTATTGATTTCCTACCCATTTTCCCATGTAGAAAACTTTTTGAAAAATTTCTAACCTCAAGCCTCTTCAAAACGTAAATTGAAGCAGTCTGGTCTTTCCAAGTCAGAGCCCACAGCAAAGGCACCCAGAGGCATGAACGCATCCCATTTGTCTTAGAGACGAGGCACTGGACATGTAACAACAACCATTTAAACACTGACACTTAACCACTTCACTACTGCTCATAAGAGGTGCCTTCAGCTTATATGCTAATCCTGAACTTCTCAAACATTAAGTCCATTTCTAGAAGCCTCCTCCCAAATTAATTTTTTTTTTGTGGAGCAAATCAGAATAATCTCTCAACTCCTGTCCACTCTGAAGAACAGCATCATCCTTCCCTGAAGGAATGTGCTCTGCCAGCAGAGCCACCCTGCCCCGGTGAAAACATCTGCTGACAAGCAACCTAGCAGCTCATGTCTTTCAAAAAGAAAACTTCTCCAAGGAGATGTATGTTTTACTCTGCATCTAGTGTTACTCACCTGGGGAACATGAGACTAGTCAGGAGCCTTTAATCAGAGTGCTGGATGGCAGCACAGGCATCCACAGGCCACCAAACCAGCCACTGATAGCACCTGCAATCGCTAGGACATCTCTCCAGCCACGAGCAGGTAAGGTGCAGTTAGTGTTCAGTTACTCCCTGGGCAGCTTTCAAAAAAGTTTGTGTAACATTCAAAAACACTAAACTTCTTGGTGACCTTAATAATCCTGAAAGACTTTGCTTTGTCTCTTTGCATGACATGCTCTGAGACATAGGATTTCTTGCATGACTTTTGGGGTCAGTCACTTTGCTTTTTTTCTGCCTGAGGTCCAAACGTGTAAAATAGGGACAACCCTTCCTTCACTTGCTACCTCTTATTTCACTGGTATGCACAGCAAGTGCTTTAACACAACCACTTAAACAGCCTCACACGTGTAAGTAAGCACAATCTCACTTGTTTCACACGCACACAAAACCAGAAGTAAAGCCTGCTCAACACCAGAGGATAGGCTATGGCCAGAAGAGATGTTTCGCCACAGCCACTTCCAGGCCCTTGTCCATGCCCTAATTTTGTACAAAAACACAGATTTAAGAAAGACTCCTGTGTAAGCTACGTGCTTTGTCAGAACAATCACACACACAAACCCTCTGGTCCAGAGGTTGAAGATCAAAATCTGGAATATTTTCACATGCACCGCTTGCACTGCTTTGTCCTTTCTCTTCTCCCAAGCCCTTGGCTGGAGGATGAAGGGGAGTGACGATGCACTTTACTGTTGAGCAATTCAATGCCATTTTACGAGGATTAATTATGATTGCAGGTAAGATACAACAGTCTATCCCATCATTTCAGGAAAGACATCCATAGATAATAACCCAGAAGCACTCCAGCTGTATCAAGAGCAGGGCTGAGAGAAATAATTGCTCTGGCTCTGTGGAATGAAAAGGATTCACTGGCAAAACTGAAGCAGTTAAAAGAGAAATCTCGATTAAGAGAAGATACACAAAACTAACAGGTAAAGATTCTCCGGTGCCTGCTGAAAGCAGCGGAGCCAAATCTGAACCTTCAAACACAGCACTGAAAGGTCCTTCAAGCCAC